ATATCTAGAAGTCTTGCAGCTGTACTTGTATGCTTGGGTTGGGATTTAATTTTATTAATTATAGAATCCAAAGCCGATGGTAGCATCCAGCCGTCTTCTCTATTGATATTAGGATGAATTTTTTATTTCAATAGCCTCGCGAATCATCCTTGGAAGGGATCGGTGTTCTTGTGATTTGTGGTCTATCAACGCCGGGAATATAAAACAAGTTAATATACGCGATAAAATCGGTAAAAACTAGTTTTATTTAAATTTGGTACTGTTGATACACTTAAATATTTTAATGTCGCAATTATCATGCCTGCCTCCACATTTTAGGCAATATATGCGTTTTGAAGGACGCATTCTAAGGATGTACACAAAGCGCCAGCATCTCGAACACTGAGTAACCGGAAATAGGTTTGGCTCCACCTTAACTTGCATGTCATATATGCACAGATACGATGGTATCGTAGGCCCTTTAAACCTCACTCGTGCCGATTCACTTAACATTCCAGCCAGATTCTCCATCACCCGCTTTCTGCGTTTGAGTCGTTTTATGTTGGCCACCTTAACTGAGCAAGATATAGATTCTAACAGTTCTTTTTCTAATAGATCTAGTTTGATGTTCTTGGTCACGCTATAAGCTAATTTCACAACATGATCACGTATCAACCAATCAGCATTTTTTTCTCTGTATAGCTCTACAATTATTTTGTATGAATTATTATATTTAACTCGAACGATGTTATGAATAGAGGGCTATGCTCAGAGTTTCTCTGCGTGATAAACTTAGAAATGCGTATATTTGCAGTATAACCAGAGTGACCGACATATCCCAACGGACTAGTAAGCTATAGTGGCAATGGGACAGCCATATAGCTCGAAGAACCGACAACCGATTAGGGAAAAAAGGTTCTCAAGTGGTAGCCTCGTATCAGTAGGCGAAGTATAGGGCGACCCCCCACTAGATTGAGTGACGACCTGGACGACATACAGGAAGTTGATGGTTGCAGGTAGCTCAGTACCGTGCATTGTGGCATTCCCTATGTTCAGCAGTGACTTATAACGGTGATGATGATGATGATTAGATTCTGATTTTTAAATAATTTGTAAAGGGCAAACTATTTATGTTTCAGGAACGTATTTCAACATATTTCAATTTGAAGAAATATGGGGTAGTCCCTTATTTCTTCAGATCTCTCTTTTCTACTTTTTACTTTTTCACGGTCTCCTACTCGCTCACTTCCTAGCTTTTTTTTGTTCAGTGTGAAGGTCCGAAGGCGAAGCTTTCCTTCTTCTTTTGCCTAATATTTGACTAGGTTTGTAGTGTATTTCAATAAGATCAGACATTTCATCTAGTATTGGTTCTTTCAAGACGTAATCTCTTATTTCCTCTGCTGACTCCGTCGAAAGAAGATCGGCCTCCATTTTTGTTCAACTATAATTGTTCCGTGGTGTGAGCTTAACGCGTCTGAACGACTTGAGCGCCACTTCTTCACTGAAGAGTAAAGTCTAATAACAACGCTCATAAATCACTTTATCACAATAATTTTTTGTTACAAAATACCTTATTGTGGCTTATGTATAAGAAATAGACGTATGATAACGCGGATTTTAATTAGATGGAGTAAATATTTTGTAGAATATTGTATATACGTATCACTAACCATTACGCTAGCGCACGCGGATAAAGCAGTTCGGGAGCGCTTTTTCAATCTCTATTTTCTGGATGTTAGCGCTGTTAGTCTATACCACTCTCACAGCTTCATCTGACTCAGGGCTCGCGGCCTCGTAGGCCTAATTAAAAAAGGGAAAGGCAAATGAGATGGGGATGATGATGAGTGGTTTATGATTTGGTATTATTACCAATCATCATGTCGCCTTTTTAGGCGTTTTTTGAGCAATCTAACCGCAGTCCGAGGGGGGGGAGTGCGTACCCCCGTCTCTGACTGCTCAGCTCGTGTCGGTTGATGGTCAGGGCGGTGAGAACCGCCCAGGAACGCGGGTGTACGGTGTGTACGCGGTGTGAGCTGGAACGTGTCGTGCCCGTCTGCGGGTGCGACGCGCCCTATTCGTTATCCTAGTAGTGTTTGTTCCATTTAGTGTGGGTGTAGTGTCGTTGTGTGATGTGCCTGCGACGTTTGGGTCGACTGGATCGAGCGGTTGAGGTGGTTCTATTAACACATTACGCGGTCTACGGAGATAGGTCGCGACGTTTGTTATCGGAACGTAGTTAGCTGTGTTTGTCACTAGCGGGTTAGGGTGGGTTTCTACTTTATCAAAGTAGCGTTGGGACATCTCCTTAAAGTATTCGGAGATGGATGGTAATTCACAATCATTGTGCAAATCAGAGTTCCGTTGGTACCACCGTGCACCGGTGGCTTTTCGGATGAAAAAGTTTTGTACTCTTTGGAGTTTTACAATGTGGGTCTTATATGTGTGGGCGAAATCTACACTTGCATAGGATATAAGTGGTCTAATGCAGGTTTTGTACAGTCGAAGTTTGTGTCTTAGCGACAGCTTACTCTTGCTCTTAACGAGAGGATGTAGACGGCCAATTACTGACTTGGCTCTGTTGCGTACTACACTTATGTGCGTCGCGAAACTCATGCGGGAGTCGAACGTGCCGCCTAGATAATTGGCCGATTTTTTCCAAGGGATTGGGCGGTCGTACAGTGAAATCGTTTTTGGTTTAGAACCTGCTGTTGAATTCCGCTGAAAGTATGCTATACTTTTTTCGGGATTCAGATCAATTCTCCATTGGCGGAACCATTCGCCTAAGCGATTAGTGGCTTTTTGGAGCTTTAACGAGAGGCTATTTTTGTTGTAATCTGAGACATAGAGTGCCGTATCGTCAGGGAAAAGTGCGGTGTTGACCACGGGGTCTTTAGGGATATCACTCGTGAAGAGGAGTGGAGATAGGACGGAGCCCTGTGGGACCCCGGCCTTGAGGAAGCGCTTCGAAGAACGGGTTCCCTCTACTCGATATCGAAAAGTGCGGTTCGAAAGGAAGGCTCGTATGATGTGCACGAGCCTATCGGGCACGTTTAGTTCGTACAGCTTGTAAATCAAGCTGTCGTGCCAGACCTTGTCAAACGCCTTCGCGACATCGAAGAAGAGGGCCCACGTGTTTCGAGACTTTTTCCTTGTCGGATTTTGGTTGAAGCCAGACAGAATGTTTTCTGTTGCGATGAATCTGGTAGTTTTTCATTCGACTTGTTTAGCAAAAATCAATTATTGAGGCTAGCTGAGAGGTATAGCCTAATTCTAGACTCACTCATAGTTTTTAAAGTTAAGATTATACTTCAGTGTTGATCCCATTTAATTTGGAGAAAGATTCCTCCCCTAAGGTCCCCTAAGTTCCCTAAAGTCCCCTAAGGTCGGCCAATTAAGGGATGAAATTTTTAATGAAACTATTTAAACAAAAATGAAATTATTTTGTCAATAAATTATAAAATAACTTTTAAAAGCCGACTTCAAACAACTATAGTAGTAATGATACGATTATTTGAACATTTTTGCCGATTATTCGAATACCAATGAATTTTAATCCTCCAAACACTACGGTAAGATTCATAGCGACATATCATTGAAATGACGTCAAGTAAAATAATTATACTAATTATTTTTTTTAAATATTTTGCTTTGTATGAAAGATTCGAATTTAAATTAGTGATAAAACACTATACACGATGTAATAAAATATAGATAACTTCTTAATTCTTAGGATTTACGTAAAAGGTTATTTTAAATCGTGTGAGTACGCTTGCGCAAAGTTATTGTGGAATGATTAATGTGAAATGTCAAAAGGTATTTCTTAGATTTGGTTGACTATAAAAAGTACAAAACAATTTTAAGGTTCAATTTTGCTACACAATAATATCACAGCACCGATTCCAAAATATGCAATTATTTTACTCTTTTTAATTGTCCGAATTTATATAAAACTGAAGTGACATACGACCTTACAGTCCACTTGATGTTAAGTAGCTTTTAAACTTAAACGCACTACAGATACGTTTTCGCCTCTGAGGACTAACATGGAATACCTCATAGGCTGTAATTATGCTGGCTTCCTATACCTTTCAGTTCAGAACACGTATAGGAAAGTGCTGCTGCTGCTAGTTGTCTGCATAAATAGGATGGTACCTACCAAAATGGTCTTCTTAACGGAAAAGGGAGGCCTAGCACTCAGTAAAGAGCTTTTTGAGTGATTTTCTCCTTGCTATTAAAGTAGTTATTTTTGTGTTTTGAATAGAACGGTTACAAACGAGTACATTTTCCACATTATGGTAAATAGATGCTGTGGCCCATAGACACCTCCATAGAATACTATAATACATACTTAATAGAACGGGGGAGTGGGAGGAGCCCGTGTAGCCAATAATATGTCACTAACATGTCAATTGACACGTATAAATGTCAACACAATCAATTTTCGTGTCAAACGTCGCTGCATACAAATTATTTAAAAAATGGCAAATAGTGCAATAATTAAGTGTCAAAAGAACATCGGGAAATGGAATTTAAATAAAGGAGACATATTATGAGGAAATAAAGGAGACATGCAACCAGTAAGTCGAATTTACTTATATTTTCTGAATATCAGAAACAAAAATAAAGAAATATTGATGTGTCGAAAACATTACGTAGTCAAAAGCTTAAAATGTGTAAATTTGGTCAGTCTGTCATTACAGCGAATCGGGTTTGTAGTAGTGATAATACGACGTAATTTCTTGTACGTGTGCACCCGGCGACACCGAACCTCGTACAAAATAAGGTTGACAGCCATTCTATTGTGTATTAAAGTATTCTATGGACACCCCTATCCTCGAATATAAAAATGAATCAAAATGCAGATGCGTTTGTCACTCCTGATGTTCGTAAAGTAACAGCATAATGCTGCCTATTTTATGATTGTATTTTTCAAAACAGTGCTCCTACCCTTAGGGATTCGAAATAAGCAAAGGGTTGCCCTATTAATTTCCTTTACATCAGTTAATCTTACTTAATTTCAGTAAGGAGACGAAGAAAAATTTGAAGGGGCGACCGCCTGTAGCTCGTTCTCCTATAGTGGCAGATACAGCGCCAGCTATGCCATCTGAAAGACGGTGCCCTGTAAGAGGCTGTGATTCCACTGGACATTTGGGTAATTTATTAATACAATTCTAGGATGAGACCGACGGGTAGCCTCTTGTTGACTTCTACTGACTATTGAGTTGTGGTTACTGGCTTTTATCTCAGAAATGTCATTCTAGCCAGTCTCAAGCATAGGCGCAGAGTAACAAGCCTATATAAGAACATTTCGGAGAGTGTATGCAAGACTTCTTACATGATTCAATCTTCCGTAACTTTTTTTCGTTTGTTGTGGACGCTCCATGCATTGGAACTATATGGTTAGTGTCGTCTTATGTAATGCAGCGATGGAGTGAAAGATATACCAGTATCTGTCTTTCCATCCGATTGCAATATGGGCCTCAACGTAAAATTGACTAGCTAAAATAAGTAAAAAAAATGCAAATTGTTAATAATATGCATATATTGGAAGTTTCGCCAAGTCTCTGACACTATATATTATAAGCTAACATATGGTCTAATAACAAAAACTGAGCATCAGATACTGCCAGGTTAAAACTGTATGTTTTAGTGTACAAGTGTGTGTTGTAAAAATGTATCATATTGCCCGACAGTTGATATTTTTCGATTATATATTTCCGTTGTAAAGCCATGGTAGCTCAGTTGCTAAGTGCTTGCTTTAAACATAGTACGCGAGCAACGCGGTTTCGATCCCCGCCGCCACTAATGAAGTTGTCAGTTGCGATTTTTAACGCTGATTTATTAACACTAACTTATTTTGACCCTGTGCTAAGACGCACTAGAACAGTGCGCTGAACGAATTGCTCCGTTACACTTTTAGAAAATGGAGGAAGCCCTTGACTACCGGCTCATATATAACTGTAATTTACTATATTTTTGCGTTGTAGAACTACAATGCAGCAAGAAAGGGTCGGATCGACAGGGGAAGGACCACGCTCTCACAGAACACCAGCGTTAAATAGCAGCACAATGCTGCTGCGTTTCGCATGGTGAGTATTGAGATGTGGAGATTCTTTAGACTGGCAAAGAGGCGTCCAATTTTCACATTCCTTTACAATTTGGTCCTCCGAGGCAATAACGTATCTATAACCTTTGTTGCTGTAGTTAAGGTACACTGTTCGATTTACTTGAAATCAACAGAAAGAGGCGTGTGTTCTTTAGTAACGATTTATTCACACTGCCTTTATAAAGTCTTTTTTTTATTATTATTTTTAATACCCGACGTTTTGGGCGCTTTCCAGCACCCATGGTCACGGGGGACTGAGATGATCCCCGATGACGTCCCGATGTCATTGTTAAACCCGGAGTACCTTCAGCTTTTTTAATTATTGTTTATGGTCCGATCTATGCAAAATGAACTGACTATTGAAATAATACTAGTTTTTACGGAATTTATCGCGTATATTTAACTTTTTAAATACCCGACGTTTCGAACGCTTTACAGCACTCATGGTCGCGGGCGGAACTGACTATGTCCTGAGGTCTTGCAGTGGTATGCTTGGGGTTAGTTTTAATTTTATTGATTATAGGATCCCAAGCAGGTGGTAGTCCCAGCGTTCTTCTCTATTGAAATTAGGATGTTTTTTAATTTGAATAGCCTCACGTATCATCCTTGGTAGGAATCTGTGTTCTTTCGCGAGGATTTGTGGTCTATCTATCTCTATCTATCAAATCTGATGTAATGGCTGGGGCCGTCTAGGATATGATCACAAACTGCAGACTTCCCGGAACGTTGATGCTTCACATCAGCTATATGTTCTTTTACGCGGGTTCTAATTGATCTTTTTGTTTGTCCTATATAGGAGAGAACACATTCACAATCAAGCTTGTACACTCCTGTATCTCGTAGAGGAATATGACACTTGACGAATGGTAGGAATTGACTAATCTTCTTCGGCGGCTTGTAGAATGTGCTAATAGAAGCTCGCTTCAAGATGTAGCCAATCTTGTCTGTGACACCTCTGACATATGGTAGTACAGCAGGCACACGCTCGACTGTGGCCGGCTTCACTCGGTCACTGTGACGTAGGCGCGGGACCCGAAGCTTCTTGTCGTGCAGAACTTGCTTGACGTGCTGCTGAAGCTCGGCGGCCAGGTGTTTGCTGTCACAGATCCCTCGTGCTCTCTGTAACAAAGATTTGCCCACGGTAGCTAACGGTGAAGGATGGTAGTGAGATTCACCGTTTAAATATCGGTTTGTATGGGTCTTTTTCGTATACACAGTGTGACCAATGGTGTTGTTAGGATTTCGGATAACTAACACATCTAGGAAAAGTAAGGAATTATTTGCCTCTAACTCCATAGTATATTGAATTTTAGAGTTTATGGAATTAAGATGTTCTAAAAATGCAGTTACTTTGTCTGATGGTAAAATTGTGAAAGTATCGTCTACGTACCGCTTGTAGATCCTTGGTGTAACAGGTGCAGTAAGGAGGGCTTTCTCCTCAAAGTCTTCCATGAATATATCGGCGACAATGGGAGATATAGATGAGCCCATCGCAACACCATCTACTTGCTTGTAAAACTCTTCCTTCCACAATAGATAGCCAGATGTAAGGCAATGTCTGAGTAATACTGCATATTCTGTTGGCATATTATTTTCCTCTAGTTTCCTAGTTATGATTGAGATGCAGTCTTTAACAGGTAGGCATGTAAATAGAGACTGAACATCAAAACTGACCATCGTTTCATTGTCAGTAAGACGTAGGTCTTTTAAGTCACTGACAAAATGGTATGAATCCTTAGTATGTGTTCTTGTGTGTCCTCTGAATGGCCCCAACCATTACATCAGATTTGATAGACCACAAATCCTCGCGAAAGAACACCTATTCCTACCAAGGATGATACGTGAGGCTATTGAAATTAAAAAACATCCTAATTTCAATAGAGAAGGAGGCTGGGTACTACCACCTGCTTGGGATCCTATAATCAATAAAATTAAAACTAAACCCAAGCATACCACTGCAAGAACTCAGGACATAGTTCATTTTGCATAGATCGGACTATAAACAATAATTAAAAGAGCTGAAGGTACTCCGGGTTTAACAATGACATCGGGACGTCAGTCATCTCAGTCCCCCGTGCCCATGGGTGCTGGAAAGCGCCCGAAACGTCGGGTATTAAAAATAAAATAAATAAAACGCGATAAAATCCGTAAAAGTAGTTTTAATCAATGTATAGTGTTCGCGTAAATATAAAAAATTATTATGTAAACAATTAGCCTTTAAATTTGCTAAGCATGGATTAAGAACGGTATTCGTATTATGTACGTCTTTGTGAGCATTTGTTACTTGTACGTTTATTATACGTAAATGTGTGTAAGTACGTACGTTTGAGTAAATAAACCTAACAATTGTCTTTGTTTGAAATTAGTTGCGGGTGTTCTTTGGTGCAGTGGCCACTTACTATTAGGTGATATGTAAGTTATCGTATCGTATCGTAGTACAGTATAATAAAAAAATATAGCGTAGACTTTCACGGGTTGATGAAGGAACAGAAGAACTATTTTCATGGGTTTCTCATGTGACTTTCTACAAATAGAAAACTATAAAAAAGAATGAGAATGGCTTTTGGATGCGATTTCGTAGCTGCCTCGGCTTTGCCTGGGATCTATCATTGTGTTGATATTTAGACTTAGATACTCATATACCATTCATTCTATTGTAGTATAGCCCCCACGAGAATGTATACACATGGACGAATTTAGAGGAACGCGAAAGTGTGTATAAAACAAAATAACATGGATATTTTTACCAATAGTTTTTATTAATTTGTATTTTTCTATCGTAATATAATTGTAAATTCATTTAATTTATTAAAATTGTAAACTTAGGAAAAACAAACGATCAAATGACAAAAGTTAACCAATTTAAGAAAAATAAGAAAAAATTTACATCAAAGAAACATTTCGTACTTAACATTTTTTTTTCATAAATTCTTGGGAAAGGCTATAATGTTGCCCCTTCTAACTCTTTCAGCTGCTTTCAATCTTCGAGCTACTTTTAATCTTCGAGCTACTTCCAGTCTTCTTGGCACACTCTTAATCAAGTTATCAATAAAATCTTGAGAGATTGCGATCCATTCTTCCTGTAATCATTTTTTAAAATCTCTTAATTTAGCGTTGGCAAGAGTTCCTTTATTTAATTTTTCTTCCAAGCTTATACATACATACTCTATAGGGTTGTAGTAATTTCAACGTTTCGAAGGTATTCGACAACTACGGTCGCAGTATGGAGGCGTGCATTATCATGCATAGAAACAAAACTCTCCTATAAAAAGCGCAAATGACATTTCAATTTCTTCCAAAATCTCAGTTAAATATTGAGCCGCTGTTAGTGACCCATTCTTAATGACACGGCGTTCCGTACATCCGTACTGACCCTCCATCATATGCCTCTTTTCCAATGATGTAATGTAAACGTAAATGTTTTTCGTTTTCGTCCCTGTCCTCAGAGTCTCGTATACTGTCCGTTGTACAGATACCTCTTGACAACTCGTTGTACTATAGTTTTTGATATTCGTAATGCTTGACCTCATGTATGTAGGCGCGCCCAGTTTCGGTTAATGTTACAGCCCTAGTTAATTTGAGTAGCGTTTAGATACTCAAATACAAAAAAAAAACCTCGGTTTATTTGCAGTAACAAGTCACACATTACACGATAAATAAGGCAGTCACGGCAAAAACTTGAGCATTTGAACTAAATTCAAACGTTGGCAAATTTTTTCAGTACAAAGGAACATAGTATTACGCAATAATTGTATAAAAACATATGAAAACGAAAAAAAAAACGAAAATGAATACATTCCAAAACTTTTTTTAATAGCAATTTAGCAGTTAGTGGCCAGAACGCACGATAATTACAACAGGATAAATAAATTTTTTTTTGCGTTCCTCTAAATTTCTCTATGAGTGTATAATATTGTTAAGTGCAAAATAAGACCTAAAGCCTAATTAAGTTCATCGAACTATACCATGTCTCTTTATTATCACCAACATTTTCAATTTTTCGTTATTTTCAAAAATAAATCAATTAGTTTTTGGGATAAAATATAGCCTAGATCACTTCTGGCATTGCTCACTATATGTCCGTGAAGTTTCATTACAATCAATTGTCATTCCAAAGATTAGGCCCAACAGACAGATGGACCAAAATGTCAAAAATGGATATTCATGTTAATATAAGGTAGTTATTTTGATATTACAAACTATAGTGTTTGGTGTTGGTGGCAGGTGGCAAAGCGAGTCGTCACTTCACGTGGGACGCGTGTCCGGTGTACCACAACGTGACGGCGGCTTGGTGCGTGGCGGCGGCGGAGGAACGCAGCGCGGCGGCGGCGGCGCGCCGGCGAGCATTGCACGCGCTGCAGCAGCGCCCGCGCGCCATGCCCACCATCGAGCAGCGTGCCTACCAGCTCAAGGTCAAGGTACGTCCGTTGCACGCACTGCAGCAGTGCCTGCGTGCCATGCCCACCATCGAGCACCGCGCCTTCCAGGTGCGTCGCCTGCAGAATCACTACACCCGGAGCACCACTACCACACTATTACTAATTCGCACTGCGTCCTAGAAAATATGCGCCTACCAGCTTAAGGACAAAGAGTGTCGCTCGCAGAATCGCAACACTCCACTATCACACTACTACTAATATGTACTGCGTCCTAGAACAGATGCGCATAGCAGCTCAAGGCAAGGTACGTCGCCCACAGAATCACTACACCCGGTGTACCACTATCACACTACTACTAATACGTACTGCATTCTAGAACAGAAGCGCCTACTAGCTCAAGGTCAACGTACGTCGATCGTCACAATAACTAAGTACTTGCCGGAAGCCGTGCTCGAAAATGATCGCGCCAGGCTCTACTGGGACCAGGCCATCATCACAGACAGGACTATTCTTGCAAATAAGCCTGATATTGCGCTGATGGACCGGGCACAGTCAAGGATATTTTTGGTCGACATTACCATTCCGTATGACGAGAACCTCGTGAAAGCTGAAACAGATAAGCAAACAAAATATCTGAACCTGGCTCACGAGGTGACCGACATGTGGGGTGGTCTGCCAACCGAAATTATTCCTGTAGTCGTCTCTGCGAATGGGCTAATCCCAGTCAGCCTCTCGGGTCATCTGAGGCGACTGGGGCTCCGTGACGGACCACTCTGGGCTCAAATGCAGAAGGCGGTGCTCCTCGATACCGCTCGCATCGTCCGCCGGTTTCTTTCCCTTTCCCTGACCCCTACCGAGGGCTTCCACCTGGTTGGGCTTGTATTTATTTATGTATTTCTTGTATTTATTTTATTTTATTGATATTTATGTATATTTATCTTTTCATTTTCATTTATAATTTTATATTTATAGAACCCAACCAGATGAGAAAACTATATAGATACCCCAAATAATAATAATACATACTGCTCTTAGAACAGATGCGAATACCAGCTCAAGGACAAGGTGCGTCGCCGGCAGAACACCCGGCGCACCACCACCCCACTTCTACTAATACGTACTACGTACCAGAACTACAAACATGCTGTGGTAAAAATATACTATCTCATATCGTCCCGTAGGTGTCGTAATAGGCAACAACAACGGACATAACACGGTTATAGAAAGTTTAAGACGAGTGTGAAAACCGACTGTTCTACAAAAAGAGGCTAACAAGAAGTTTAGACTTCAATAATGTCATTGGTCAATCATATACAAGATTTATCGGTATGATAAAATGATTAAAATCTTATATTTACGCGAACATTGCACATGATTAAAACTACTTTTACGGATTTTATCGCGTTTATTTTTACTTTTTATTTTTAATTCCCGACGTTTCGGGCGCTTTCCAGCACCCATGGTCACGGGGGACTGAGATGACTGACGTCCCGATGTCATTGTTAAACCCGGAGTACCTTCAGCTTTTTTAATTATTGTTTATGGTCCGATCTATGCAAAATGAACTGACTATGTCCTGAGGTCTTGCAGTGGTATGCTTGGGTTTAGTTTTAATTTTATTGATTATAGGATCCCAAGCAGGTGGTAGTACCCAGCCTCCTTCTCTATTGAAATTAGGATGTTTTTTAATTTCAACAGCCTCACGTATCATCCTTGGTAGGAATCGGTGTTCTTTCGCGAGGATTTGTGGTCTATCAAATCTGATGTAATGGTTGGGGCCGTCTAGGATATGATCACAAACTGCAGACTTCCCGGAACGTTGATGCTTCACATCAGCTATATGTTCTTTTACGCGGGTCCTAATTGATCTTTTGGTTTGTCCTATATAAGAGAGACCACATTCACAATCAAGCTTGTACACTCCTGCATCTTGTAGAGAAATATGACACTTGACGGATGGTAGGAACTGACTAATCTTCTTCGGCGGCTTGTAGAATGTTCTAATAGAAGCTCGCTTCAAGATATAGCCAATCTTGTCTGTGACACCTCTGACATATGGTAGTACAGCAGGCACACGCTCGACTGTGGCCGGCTTCACTCGGTCACTGTGACGTAGGCGCGGGACCCGAAGCTTGTTGTCGTGCAGAACTTGCTTGACGTGCTGAAGCTCGGCGGCCAGGTGTTTGCTGTCACAGATCCCTCGTGCTCTCTGTAACAAAGATTTGCCCACGGTAGCTAACTGTGAAGGATGGTGGTGAGATTCACCGTTTAAATATCGGTTTGTATGGGTCTTTTTCCTATACACAGTGTGACCAATGGTGTTATTAGGATTTCGGATGACTAACACATCTAGGAAAGGTAAGGAATTATTTGCTATCTAATTCTTATAATCTAATTTTTATAATCAAATGTCGATAAAACTGTCTTTAATTCACTGGACGAATTGTCAAAGATACACAAACCGAATGCTCCATTACGTCCAATAGTGAGTCAGATTGATTCGCCAACTTACAGATTGGCTCAATACTTAGCTAAAATATTATCACCACTCAGAGGACACACAAGAGCACACACTAAGGATTCATACCATTTTGTCAATGGGATAAAAGACCTACATCTTACACCTGCTTGGGATCCTATAATCAATAAAATTAAAACTAAACCCAAGCATACCACTGCAAGACCTCAGGACATAGTCAGTTCATTTTGCATAGATCGGACCATAAACAATAATTAAAAAAGCTGAAGGTACTCCGGGTTTAACAATGACATCGGGACGTCAGTCATCTCAGTCCCCCCGTGACCATGGGTGCTGGAAAGCGCCCGAAACGTCGGGAATTAAAAATAAAAAGTAAAAATAAACGCGATAAAATCCGTAAAAGTAGTTTTAATCATGCGGTATGATAAATTTAAAATCTATATATTATTGTCCCACTGCTAGGCATAGAGTCTACTCTTTTCCAGTGCGTGTTGACCCGCTTAACATGTTCTCAAAATATATTATTCCACAGACATGCAGGTTTCGTCACGATATTTTTTTTCACCGCTGTGTATAAAATCACCACGTGTTTAATAGCAATTTCATATTTGTTATAAGGATATGCGTTCGAAATGGAAAGGCAGCCAAGAGCTACGTGAGAAGTTGGCTGCATCAAGCGAAGAAGTCAGCGATGAAAGAGAGCCCGTATTGGAAGGCTTCGCCCCCGATTACGACTTGAGGCTGTTTAGGGAAGCTCAAGCACTGGCCGCCATCAAAATAGAGGAAGAGTTGGGAGACCTTCCGTCAGATAAAGGCACCAGGTATGTATGGTGGGTGACAAATCGAAATATAACAATATGGTTTACCATGAACAGTATTGTTGTTTTTCGATTAGAACAGTTTAACTGGTATCAATCATAAAAATAAAATGAATCCTTAGAAATTAAAACGTAGAGTTATGTTGATTAATAGGGACAGTTCATGTCAATAAACAAGAATCAACGTGATTATAATATACTTTGTGGAAATCCATTATATCGAAAATGGTAAAATTTAATTATCTAGTACTTAGAGATATTTTTTTAAATATTTCTGTTTTATGGGTCTACTCCAAGACATATCAGTAAATTATGGAATATATATGGTATAAATTCCCTGTATGAATGTTTCTATGTCTTGATTTGTGTACGTAAATAAATGTAAAGAAGATCCACGTAAAAATAAAAAGTATGTATTTTACCTGCTTAAATTGATCTAATTTATAAATGGGCAGATGGGTTTGTTTGATCACCACTCTCTTAGCGGTGAGCTATTGCAGAACCTACTACCTACGCTTAGAGATGAAACACGTGTTGTTTTATTGACTGGTGTTGGGTTAAGTGGTGAGGAAGGGCGGGCGTTGCTCTTCACAATATGTAAGACGCATGCTTTTTATTTTTGGCGGATTTTAGCTAATTATAATATAAACAAATATCTTTCACAATTCATGTCGTCATCATCATCATTATAACAGTATATCAAAAGTTCACTGCTGAATGCAGGCCTCCCCACAGATCGTTGGCAACCGCATTTTTTATTTTTTAGATGTTTAAGGGAAGAAGCTCCTGCCCATCACCTGGTTTATTCCTTCCTGTCGCCTCTTACGACAACTACGACACAATATGGGGTAATAGTGGATATTAATTACACCCACACTCTTATGAGAATGGGGTGGCGTAAGAGAATCCACTAAATCATGTCATTCCGTAGGTATCGTATGAAGTGGCAAATGGAACTGAAACACAAGATGTATATCAGTATCTTTCTGTTAACAACTAAATTATACTCATCAACAATAAAAAACTGCGTTTGCTAATTCATCCGCCAAGCATGGCACATATGGCAAACACCTCTATATGGGTAAGGTCGTAAAAAAGTGTAAATAACGCACTGGAAGATATAACACACGGTAACACAATAACTTACTGCAATAATATAAAGGTCAATGTTCACTTGGAAATAGGTTCAAGTAAAATCTATTTCAAAATATTATCAATTACTTATTTTCATGAAATTAAGATTCAAAAACTAATCAAAAAAATAATCAAAAACGAATCTTAGACTATGCATAGCTTGCATGTTTGCGAAACAAAACACCAAAATAACACAACACTGTAGAATTAAAACCTTTAACAAAATAATGTGCTTACAAAAACAGTAGGTACTAATAAAAGTAGGTTATTCATAAAAGAAACATAACGAATTTAACAAATATGTGTTTACAATTTACAATTAGTACAGATACTATAATTATTACCATTTATCACAGAATTTTGTTTTACCGTTTTTTTATTATAGCCCTTATAATCCCAATTGACAGTATTCACGTTCGCACAGGCCATATTTAAGAAGAAATTGAAATTTAAAAGTGCGTTTTTTTATGTAATCAATAGGCGAACTATAATATAGTATTAATTTAATAAGTAATGATTTAAAAAAACTTTTAGTGTTTATCTTATAAACTCGGCATACAAATATAATAAAGCCACATTAAAAATGTGTTGTTAATAATAACTTACTTATATTTTGCCAATTAATACAATTTTAAAAAATGCTCCTTATCATTTAAACATTTTTTTATAGTATGGTCCTGTGCGAGTGGAAAAGTTGACGAAAGGCGACGACCTCATAATTAAAAACTGACCTAGTTCGCCTACTGATGGACAACTAGTAATAATAAATCAGAATAGTATAACACTCCCCTCTTATGTAGGTACGTCAGAATGACATGACACCTTTTTCATTCCACCGTAGTCGGTTAAGTTATGTGAACAGCCTCCTTTATAACATTCCAGTGTGTGACATAACAAACACCATAACACACGTAACGAACTTGAACAAACACACTCGAAAATTCAAAATTCAACAATGAATACCGGTCATAAATCATGCGCGATTTACTTAATAAAACTTGGCATACTCTGGTAATTGACTATAAATTTCGAATCAGGAACCTAGTAAACGATATCTTTGTGCTTCTCACGTAGAATTCACATATACACTGCCCGAAATTTGTGCTCTAAATTATGGAATTTACAATTGTTTACGGTCACGACTACAAATGAAAAAAAATGTCAAAACTGACGTTTGACCGTAAGCCTACACTGGATAACTTTTGGAGACACAAATTAGAATAAGATTTTTGTCCACTAGTATTATTGTATTATTGCAATAATTTATACATTATCCACACGGCATCTTTTTTGCTTTCAAAGTAAACTACTATTTTAAAACCATAATGCTATATTGTTTTGTTTGTTGCATTTTTTCGTCCTGTAAGTTGATAGGAGACAAATAAATTTTGTATGCAGCTTTATTTTGTTGATTCAAAAATATTTTTTATATTTTATGTTTAAGCCTCTTGAATATTTTGGTTATTTCTAGATTATTCTAAACATGATTATCAATGTTTTGATAATTAATAATATTATCATACTTTTTGTTAGCGTATGGTATTCACAATCAAACATGGGCTCTCTCAAAACTTTTAAAAAGTAAATTTTTATATGACCTTACCCATATAGCGCACCCTATGGTCGAGGCATATATTCATCAGTGGTCGGCAATAAAATAATATATACATAGAATTTTATTGTAAAAAATAATAAAAATAATAGGAACTACTAACCGTGCGGAAAAAGAATGGGATTAGAAATGGCGACTCATCGACTCTACTGCCCGCACACGTCATACCTAAAGCGAAAATAGCGCTTATAACTTTATATCGTTATTATATAAGTAATAATATTTTAATAAATCAATTTTTATAATATCTCGTTTATTTGGAAATTTAAAAAAAGGAGAAATCTCTTTCAAAATAATTGGTTGTTTTTTATTGAACAGTTATATTATATTGTTACTTGGACTTGAAATTAAAAGCACGAAAAACGTTTATCACAACGCATGATATTATTTGTGGTCGTTTTTGACAGCTGTGAGTTTAAATAGTGTGTAAGCGAGAGGCGAATAGATGCGTTGCCATTTATAATCCCATTCTTTGTCTGCGCGAGTAGAATAACTTAACATAACACAATGTAGCACATTTTGGAGTAACGTTGTGGTAACAGTGTTTTTATCATGTCCAACAGATACGTGGTGATGGGGAAGTACATGATGGAGGTGTGGTACCAGTCGCCGTACCCCGGTGACGCGGCGCGCGTGCCGAGGCTGTTCGTGTGCGAGTTCTGCCTCAACCACCACAAGTGCGCCGCGGGCGCCGCGCGACACCGCACCAAGTGCGTCTGGCGCCACCCGCCCGGCGACGAGGTACATCGCAGCACCTGCCCGCTACACTTGTCACTGACACACACGTGCACCAACACACATGCCGCGGTTGTTTGTGTGCGTGTTCTACTTCAACCACCACAGGTGCGCCGCGGGCGCCGTGCGACACCGCACCAAGTGCGTCTGACGCCACCCGTCCGGCGACGAGGAACATCGCAGCACCTGCCCGCTACACTTGTCACTGACACACACGTGCACCAACACACATACCGCGGATGTTCGTGTGCGAGTTCTGCCTCAACCCCCACAAGTGCGCCGCGGGCGCCGTGCGACACCGCACCAAGTGCGTCTGACGCCATCCATCCGACGACGAGGTACATCGCAGCACCTGCCCGCTACACTTGTCACTGACACACACGTGCACCAACACACGTGCCGCGGCTATTCGTGTGCGTGTTCTGCTTCAACCACCACAAGTGCGCCGCGGGCGACGTGCGACACCGCACCAAGTGCATCTGACGCCATCCGTCCGGCGACGAGGTACATCGCAGCACCTGCCCGCTACACTTGTCACTGACACACACGTGCACCAACACACGTGCCGCAGCTGTTTGCGTGCGTGTTCTGCCTCAACCCCCACAAGCGCGCCACGGGCGCCGCGCGACACCGTCTGTTTTGTTTTCGGTATTCGTAAGTTTCATCATGTTTCGGAGTACAGGGCTCAATTAAAATGGCTTCCTTTCCGTAGACGTCGAGACTTACACTTGATATCATATCTTTACTTTTTACTCTTTAATCCTCTTGCACCTCGATATCTCCGCGAGCGTTTTGAGTATCTTGTACCTCGCAAAACTCAGTGCTGGTCCACTAAATGTGTCATAACCCCTTTTCATTTCTCAAGTCGATGTGGTAGATCTTTTACATTAAGGGCGGTCAAGCTATGGGACTCACTCCCACATATGACATACGTGCTAGTTCTTCTCTTGATATGTTTCGGAACAGAGTAAAGGAATATTTTCTATCAACGTAATTATAAACACACACATTTTATGTTTTTTTTATAGGATAGGATGACAAACGAGCACACAGTCCACCTGATGGTAAGTGGTTACTGTGGCCCATAGACATCTGACATCTATCCTCGATTAAGAATCAAAATGCAGATGCTTTGTTGCCCCTGAGGACTAAGATGGAATGCCTCGTTTCCAGTTAAAGTGGTCGCCAGTACTCTACACCCACCATACAAAACTCAGCAGAATCAGCTGCTATTTTACGCTGGTATTTTGTGAGAACACGGTCCTACCGTGGTCGCGCTGACCCATTCGTGTTACAACCATAATATTACTATAGTATGGCTTTGGGGTGTGGTGTACATTGCCGACCACTATTAAACTATATAATTAATAGAAAGGCATATAACGAAAATGTATTTTATCATTATTAAAGTATAGGATATTTGTGAGATAAAAATATTTTTTGATGGTCCATATTCAATAGAATCTACAAATTAGAGCTCCCAAATTGTCTCTCAGAGTTTTGGCCTAAACGTGCATCGGGAGAATGATTATTACTAAATAAATAAATAATTTATCTAAGATTTGCCTTGTGCAAGTTAAGTTAAGAGCTTATTGTGGAAGAAAAAACGAACTATTTTTACCAAGTAATTTATTATTTCATGCAACGAATGGAAAACATAATTTCAACGAGGAAACTTTGTAATTTTGCGTTTTTTTTTGTAATACTCCTCTTAAGTACGCACGCTGCTACCTACTTGCTTAACATATAAAACTATTTTTCTCTCCCAAAGGGTTTGCTGAAAGAGAACTCGTATTATAAACTAAAAATATAAATTATTTAAAAAATTCAAAATTTACTACCAACTTATAGCGTGTACAATAAAGAATCAATTGTGATGAAATTGTACAAACAGATACAAAGCATTGCTAGGAAGGCTATATTTTATCCGCCTTATTTTTTTAAAAATCCAAAAATTGATAACATAAATTGCCTTTGACTATCTTCAATTAAAATAAATTAAAATCTATCTTAAATTAAAATAAATCGGGCTAGCTATTATATATATATATATATATATATATATATATATATATATATATATATATATATATATATATATATATACACAACATGTAAAAAAACCCTGTGGTTCCCGTTAACTTGCAAATTGTATGTGGTTTTATTATCTCTCCATTGGCCGAGGAGTAAGTGGATTGTCAAAGATCCCGCGATACCGATACTCGTGTGAATTAGAGGAAATAAAACCACATACAATTGGCAAATTAATTTTTTTTTCACTAAAATGTTTTTTTAAATGTGTTTTTTTGAAGAAAAAAATATCTTTTTATGATACATACATACATAAACACTCACGCCTGTCACCCAGAGGGGTAGGCAGAGACTACGGACTTCCATTTGGCACGATCCTGACACACCTCTCTCGCCTCCTTTACATCCATATATCTACGCATACATGCTCGTCGGTTAAGGGTACTTCTAACGTGGCCCATTTTCAAAATATCGCCAATTTGGTCGATAAACTTTTTCCTAGGGCGTCCCTTCCCGACTCGGCCATTCACATCTGCCATATAAATTTGCTTTGTCACTCTTTCCTCATTCATTCTTTCTACGTGACCAAACCACCGAAGCATTCCTTTCTTAATCCTGGTCACAACATCATCTTGCATACCACATTTATCTCTTATCACGCAATTTCTCACCCTGTCATTCAGATTACACCCTAGCATATTCCTTAAAGACCGCATTTCTACAGCATTTATTCTACTTTCGTGCTTCTTCTACCACACCCAGCTTTCACTACCATACATTAAAGTAGGGACTAACACAGCATTTTGAATTACCATACGTGCCTGTTTTGACAAATTCTGGTTCTTCATAATAGAGTGTAGTGCCCCATTCACTCTATTCCCTGCATTTACTCGTCGTTCTATATCCCTATCATATCTACCATCCCTGCTAAATACACATCCCAAATACACAAACTCATCCACTTGCTCAATCAACTCTCCTTCTATTCTTATTTCACATACCGTTTTGCTTTCTTCTCTTTCAAAAACCATCACTTTCGTCTTACTTGCGTTCACTTTCATTCCCCTTTCTTTTAATTCCCAGTTCATTAATGTAACCATCATTTGCAACTCTGCCGCCGATGACGCAAGTATGACTTGATCATCGGCATACAAAAGGCATTTGACGGTTAACTCGCCCATTCTTAACACACATTCTTCATCTTTCAAGTTTGCAAACACCGGTCCATAAATAGGTTGAACAGCCAAGGGGAAGCCACACAGCCCTGTCTGACACCTTTTTGGATGCCAAACCAGTCCGAGTAGACCCCATTGATCCTGACACAAGCACTAGAGTCCCTATAAAGAGACCTTAATGCCTGTATCAAACCAGCGCTCAACCCATATGAGTTCAGTGTTTGCCATAACACATTCCTGTCCACTCTGTCATAAGCCTTTTCCAAGTCCATGAACGCACAAAAAACTTTCTGGTTTTTGGCCAAAAACTTCTCCGCAATCATGCGCATGGAAAAGACTTGATCTGTACACCCCATTCCCTTTCTAAAACCCGCTTGCACATCCCAAATTTTTCCATCAGTTTCTTTCATAACTCTTTCAATTAACACCTTAGCATACAGTTTACCCACAATACTAAGCAAGCTGATACCGCGGTAGTTTTTGCAGTCCTGCTGTGACCCTTTTCCTTTATATATTGGTACTATAACTGCTTTACACCAGTCATCCGGTACCCGTTTTAATTCCCAACATAAATTAAACAAGGTGTACAGCAGGCCTGCCACCACTCCCTCTCCAGCCCTTAGCATCTCGAGTGATACTCTATCATATCCAGCTGCCTTACCTGCTTTCATGCTTTTCATTGCTTTCATTATTTCATCTACACTTATCTCCATACCCCTTTCCACTTCTTTCGGAATTTCTAGTTCATTTAATTCATACGACTCTTCACTCATAAACACGCTTTCAAAGTATTCCTTCCATCTGTTTAAATTCGAAACTTCATCATTCAGAATACATCCATTCTCGTCTCTTATAGCATTTATTATCGGCTGTTTTGTATTTCCCCTGGCAGTTCTTACGAGTTTCCAGAACATCTTTCCAGAACATTTATCTTTATTATGATACTGATTCTAATAACACACCTAACGGGAACCACAGGGTTTTTGTTACATATTGTATATATAATAAATAAAAAATAAAGTTTTTCCTCACAGGTGTACCGCAAAGATAACCTGAGCGTGTGGCAAGTAGACGGCCGGAAGCACAAGCAGTATTGCCAGCAGCTGTGCCTCCTCGCAAAATTCTTCCTTGACCACAAAACCCTCTACTACGATGTGGAACCTTTCCTGTTCTACGTTATGACCTGCGCTGACAACGAAGGCTGTCATATTGTTGGCTACTTTAGCAAGGTAAGTGACGTTAGGTTATTTAGTTTTTAGACGACAGAGCCATATTACAGCTTTATTATAGCTGCAGTAAGAACGAGTCGGCTCCACCAATTAAAAACCACGCTCGCACATAGTACCAGCGTAAAATAGCAGCTTAATGCTCTTGTTCTTTTCTCATGGCGAGTTACTAAAACTGGACACCTTTTCTATTGTTAAGGAGGCATTCTATTTAAGTGCTCAGGGGTGACAACGCACCTGCATTTTGGTTTCTTAATCTGTCTTCTTTATCTGTCTGTTCTTAATCTGTTAACTGATGTCGTTGTATACGATCCATAGCATTCATTTGTCTTGACGTGGACCGTGTGCGTGTGTTTGTTAAAAAGTTGGTTAACCCTGCAGGCCATTCCTGGAACTTCCCGCTAATTTAAAATGCAAAGCGCTCCAAATTTCACCAAATTATAACGTTATACAAATAATGTAAAAAACACAAATTTGCTAGGTTGTGAAATCTCGAAGTTATGTTAATAACGTAACGTAAATAACGTTTTTTTTTTCAAATTATTTCTCCTTTGATATCTAACGAACGAATGAACCGATTTTTATTTCGATCGATTTTATTCAAACGGCATTCGACGTCATTTTTTGAGCTCATGAGCTGATTCGTTTTTTAAATCGATCGGTAAATCCGTTTAAAAGTTATCCCAAAAAAAAAACAATTTTCAAAAATATTTTTATTTGAGATTTTCCGAAATTTACTCTTCCGAATCAGTTCATATTATCACCAAATCTATTCCACATTGAGATCTTTAGAACGCCGCATCTCAATCGATCAAGACGTTCAAAAGTTATGAAAGGTTTACATACATACACACAAACACTCACATACCTACATACATCCGTACGGATGTCCACGTGAAATTAGTCAGAATAGCTTCCTGGGATCTCAAAACGTCGAGATCTGATGAAAACTCGATTTTCGAAAATCGGGTGAAACCAATAACTTCCCTATTTTGGAAAATTTTCAATTTTCTTAGCTGGAAGTTAAAAAACTGGTGTTCCGTAAACTGTCTTTATTAGGCTCTAATAATGAATACCTTTTTTGACAAGAACATGTAGGTATTTAATGTTAAATAGGAGGTTGTGAATACGCAAGAACGCGAGTAACCCGGGTTCAATCACCGCCGGCACCAATGAAATTGTTAATTGCAATTTTAAGTACTGATATACCACGTGCTCGGCGGTGAAGGAAAACATCGCGATGAATGCATGCTGCATGTCTGAGGAATATGAAAAAAAAAAGCATTTCGAAGACATGTGAATTTCGCCGACTCGCATTGGGGCAGCGCGATGGACACTTCCTTGTTCTAAAACCCTCTCAGAAGTGAAGGGAGGCCTGTGCCCAGCAGTGGGACGTACATATATAGACTGTAACTTTACTTTTACTTTACTTTAGGAGGTTGTCTGTGTCGTCATGTTGTAGGTAATACCGTTTAGGTTGAAAGTCCGCGGTCTAAGGCATTAAATGAGTATTTTATTACTATTTTTAAATAAAGTCTCCCTTAAGCGAAATACGTTTTTCACATCTGGCGGATAACCGCTTTCAAACCGCCAAGAAAACATTCCTTTTCTTTGCTCTCAAAATATCTGTGGCGGCGCTGTCGTCGCGCCGCAAGCGAAACACACCGAAGCTTAAATCACGCTATCAACATTCCGAATCATAAACAGCATATATAGAACATCTCCGAACTATCACACGGAGCGTTGGCCGCTCCCCGGGCATAACACCTTGCCCGGCGGGAGATCTCCCCTTTTCCTTCCACGGCCACAGTGGTGACCCCGACGTGATCTGAACACGCAGCTAAACACCTTCGGAAACTATAACTTCAAGCTTTCGTCATTATCCTCAAGAACCCCTATCATTCACTATTGAGAATCGTCTTCTGCTGTCTTCAGTTCCTGCAAGCCAGTCCAACTTGTCTTCGTCTCGACTCACCGCAGATTTATAAGGCAGACTTCTGGCACTTGCTCTGGCACATCGTTCTCACCGGCATCACTTGCCAGTGCGTAGTACGGCATGCATTCCCCACCGGCATTAAGGACACACCGGCAATCGGACTGCACTATCGACCTCTGGTCTGAGCAGGGGGTGATGTGGCGGCGCTGTCGTCGCGCCGCAAGTGAAACACACCGAAGCTTAAATCACGCTATCAACATTCCGAATCATAAACAGCATATATAGAACATCTCCGAACTATCACACGGAGCGTTGGCCGCTCCCCGGGCATAACACCTTGCCCGGCGGGAGATCTCCCCTTTTCCTTCCACGGCCACATATCTTTTAACAGCCACCTTCATTTCATTTGCGTCGTCAAACAACGACCTCATTTAACTTCTTTTTCAAGTTGGAAAAAAGAAGTAGTTGCTGGGAGTCAGGACTCAGGTCTGCCTTGAAACCCGCGCTGTGTGGCAGGTGCATTGTCTTGCGAAAACAGCACTGCGCACTCACTTCCCATGTCGCTGCTGTACAACTATTTACTCTCGCGCCTGAGACAATAAATTTGCGTTATATTGACCATACATAGTAGTAGTCCCCTTTGGCAGGTAATTAATCAATAAAACACCTTAACTGCCCCAAAAAGCGTTCGCCGTAAGTTTTGATGCCGACTTTTGAACCTTAAATTTCCTCGGGGGCTTTTCTCTTTTTTTATCCGTTGTATAAACTCTTGTTTGGATTCCGAATCGTATTAGTGAACCCAGAATTGATTTACGGTTACATTTCGGTCGCAAGTTTTGTCTAGATTGCTCCGACTAACTAACTATAAAAATCTTTACTAGTCTCGAGTCGCCGCGGTTTGTCGAACGGCGTTAGTATCTTTGGTATATGTTATATATTGTATTCTATTTCACGATTAAGGTTTCGCCTTGATTGCAGAAGTGACGGGTATCGACAGGCGCGTTTGTGTGTGTAACTGCGATTCGTTCGACTCGCAATCGTGACAGTACAGATACACTAACCCAATGTGTATGTGCACGGCTAATAACAACCAAAGTCAAACCTTAATCGTGAAATAGAATAACTATACCCAACGCGCACTGATATTTCTCATATTCAAATGCTCGTGCATAATTTCTCCAACACATTTTTTGCTTATCTGAAACTCTTCGACCATCTGCCATTATCTTATTCTTCGGTCGTACAGTACAAGTTTATCGACTTTTCGAACATTTTCAGTCTACCAGGACGTCCTGGGCGGAGATCAACTGCGCATGAGGTATAGGTACATGTTATCACAGAATACCAGCGTAAAATAGAGCTAAATGCTGCTATGTTTCGTATGGTGAGTGTAGAGAACTGGGGACCCTTTATACTGGAAACGAGGCATTCCATCTTGTTCCTTAGAAGTGGCAACGCATCTTCAGTTTGATTCTTAATCGAAGATAAATTTGTTTGTCTATGGGTCACAGCATCCACTTACCATCAGGTGGACTGTGTGCTCGTTTGTCACCCTTATTCAATATAAAAATACGTTATTTTTTGGTTTATTTACTTATTATTAAAAACTGTCAAGTCCAGTAAAAAAAAAGTACAGTAGCGAGTTAACTTGCGAACCTGGCGAGTTAAGTTTGAACCTCGTTTGAACGGCAATAAGCGAGTTAAGGAGCAAGTTAACGATTAAGTTGAACGGAATAGCCGGCCGAGCAATTTGCGACGAGTTAGGTGCAAAGTGCTGCCCTCCCGCGCGTCTTCCGCCACCCGTATCTAAATTCGTCGTTCGTGTAAATGAGCGAGTTTAGTTCAGTGCATAAGTTGACAAGACTCAACGTTTGCGCGCCAAAACGTACAATTGTACTTTTATAATAATTAAACTCACCACAAAGTTTGTACGATACTGTTTATTGAATATTTATACGTTTTGTATTGAGTTCTAATAATAAAATGGACGGAAGATATCACGTATAAATTAGTACAGGAGTATTTAGAACACGAATGTTTGTAGTAGAAGTTCAAATTGTAAAATTGAACGTGCTCGAGATGCTGACTCATGAAAATTCTTAAAAACTTCTTTAACAACAACCATACTTCTCTGACTAGATCATTTAATTCTTGACGTAATCCTAGAACCATCTTAAATGAAAACCAGAAAAATTCTGTAGTCTTGAATCGTCATAATCCAACGAACTCTATGTACTAATGTCCTTAACTAAACTCGCCACGGAGACATTGTTAGAACGCTACTGCCCAGTTAACCTTTTACTGTCAACTGCCCTGTAACTAAACTCGCTACTGTACGTGTCGAAGTGTAAATCGGTTTTTAATCATGTGCTTACCACCGATTGCCTTTCCAGCTGGTGAAAGAAAGAAATAAAAATAATATTAAAATGCAATAATTATAGTTTTTGGGTAAAAGGGAAAATATGACAATATTTTTTCCAAATCTCACCTCCTTCACGTCCAAATAATTAGGAATGCTCGTCAGTTGTAATTCATTTCATCTATTGTTCATACATATAAATCTTATTGAAGTGTAGTACATAACATTGGAATAACTACTTTTAATAGGGCTGAGGATATTTTTATGAAGAACCGTTTAATTTCCTCGAATTCTAAAAATTGTTCTTCATTTAATATGAATTTTATTGTCTGTCTTTGTCTGTCTGTTTGATCTTATCTTAAATTATCAAATTATATGAACCTTATATTATCAAATCTTCGGGATGGCTGAAGCGATTGGCATGAAACTTCGTGAACAAATAGTAAGCAATGCTAGGAGTGATCTAAGTTATAGTTTGTCTGAAAATATTGATTTATTTGATGAATGATGTTGATATATATATATATATATATATATACCTTTTCTTAAATTGAAATACGCCACATTAATACTAGATTCTACATAAGTGAAGCCGGGGCGGCTAGGTAGTCTTCAATATGGTTGATAAACTTCCATGCCGAACTTACCACTCACTTAAGCGCATAAATTTGCTTTATCACTATCTACGTACCAATACCACCAATGCAT